TAGTTAGAGGTTCGAACTATTGTGTATCCCTTGCATTGGAGGCCTAGTGTCACGGGCTCACTAATTAAGTATGCACCATGCGACCTTAGAATTGAGCGAACAACTTGCTTTGATGCCTAAGTTAAGCCAATCTTTTCACTTGCTAGTACTTAAGCTAGCAAAAGGGAGCTTTGATGATTAATAAGGTTAATAGAAAGGATGAGAGTTAATAAGTGTTGGAAGGAAATCAAAGAGCGTAAGAGTTGGGGAAATATACAAGTGTATTGCTCATAAATTGGTGGTTACAAATGATGAAGAATGCCCCCTATTTAAGGTGAAGCTCCTTGGAATGGACGGCCAAGATTGAGCCATGTGTCACAATCCTAAAGGGTCTCTAGAACACTCTAGGCTATTTACATGCTGAAAAGATGAAGCAATGTTGGCTTAGGACCTTGTAGGCTCATCTGGCGTAATCTGGACGATGCTTGGCCGGTGCTAGGAGAGTCTGGACGATTCTAGAGAGTTCAATGGCTGGTCCCGTGCATCGGGCCACGAGCCACGCATGGGTTGTGCCCAGGCCACCACGGGCCACTACGGGCCACACACATTCTTGGGCCAATGAATGGCCTAAATGTCAAGCAGCCAAAAGCTAAATGTTGGCCATGCCTAAACTTGTCTAAGGCATTCTCCAAGCCCCTCGGCAGGTCTCGTCCTCGTTGCCTTGCTTGATGCGTCGGAAGGGCTTGGTCCGTGTCACTAGGGTGATTTAGCATTTTAAACTTAGTTGTTGTTTACGTTTTCCTTATACGTAAGTTGAGTACATTTCTTGTCAGTAAAAGATGTAAAGTTTTATCTGTTGCTATTAATGAGATTTTGACAGGAAATCAACACCTCAATAAAATGGTTTATGCTCTTGGCATTTTGGTTTGGGATGCTAAATTTCTTTAACACAAGTACTTTTGAGAGAAAATGAGGTTCATTTGCTCACACACACACACACATACACACACACACACACACACACACACACACACAGACGCACAGACACACACAGACAGACAAACATACACACACACACACACACAGACAGGCATGTTGTTAGCATTACTCTGCTACCAAATCTGTTAATGGGAAATGCATATTTGATAGCATCCCAATGCTCCATTTTCCACACATCATCTAGAACAATAATGTAGTTGCATTGTTGAAGGAAATTGTTGATTGTCTCCTTTAGTGCAATACTCCCCATTTCTTCTAACTTTTCAGCAGGAACTGGTTAATTGCCTTGTTTAGAGAGCTAGCGAATTATGTCTCACAAGAGCATCTCGAGAGTGAATGATTGGGAAACATTGACCCAAACATGGCTTTGGAAATGTTTCTTCACTGGATCAGCATCATAGGCTTTTTTAGCCAAAGTTATTTTCCCCAAACCGCCCATTCCCACCACTAAGATGACTTGGAACTCAAGATTCTCCTCTTCTACCAAGTACCAACCACTGGATCATCTGCTTTTTATTCTTGTCGATGCCAACAATTTCAGCTTCCTTGAGCCAGAGTGCATTCGCTTGACGCTCATGCCACATATTGTTCATTGCAGCTGATGTTAGCCCGGAATTCACACTGTTCAAGATCAAGAAATCGTACCACTTTTGTCCCTCAGAAACCTCTTTGACCCTCAACTCGATGCCTTGAATTAAGGAAGCAAGTTGACTAAGATGTTTAGCGTGTCACATTTTACGCATGGAACCAATGAATCCATCCTCTTGATTTCGTGCCATCAGAAGCTCGAAAACATCGAAGGCATCTTCAATGTCATAAGTAATATATCTAACTTGCTTAACCCAGACTTTAAGTTGTGGGTTTGTCTCTGCATTTTCATTAGCAACTCTTAAGAAGGCATCGACTCGCTCCAATTCATATTTGCTCCACTGAGCTTTAGCCTCAACTCATTAAGAGATTTAGCTTCTTATTCCACAAAGCTTGCAAGCTTGCATATCAAAATAGATACAACACTTTCTGCCATTTGTGTATTAGTATTTGGTCTCTCAAAAATTGTTTTTCTCATACTTGAAATGCTTATTAATTTTGATGCAAATGAGATACGAGAAATGTTTGTTAGCAAATGAAATTGGGCTTAGTATGTAACCAACAAATTCTTTACTTCTCTCTAGGAAAAGTGAGAGAGATAGTAACTTGTTTTGCTTTAATTCTCTCATTAAAGGTATAATAACTAATCTGGCTATATATATATATATTTATATATATATATATATATATAATATTAATCTGGCTAATTGTTCAAATAAGGATCTAATGTTTGTCAAAATGCTTCAATAAGGGTCTGATCTTTTAATTTGACCAAATAAGGGCCTAATATTTTCCAAAATGCTCAAATAAGGACTCGATCTTTTGATTTGCCAAATAAGGGCCTAACGTTGTCGAAAATGCTCAAATAAGGGCCTGGAGTTGAAAATTCTCACACTTCATCCAAACTGACACTAGGCCCTTATTTGAGCATTTTCGACAACGTTTGGCCCTTGTTTGGTCAAACTAAAAGATCGGGTCCTTATTTGAACATTTTCAATAACGTTAGGTCCTTATTTGGCCAAATTAAAAAATCAGACCCTTATTTAAGCATTTTGACAAACGTTAGGCTCTTATTTAAGCAAATAGCCAACTAATTTTGATTCTCTTTTCTTCCTTTCGTAAAAGGATATGTATGCAAAAACGAAAAAAGAAAAAGGAAAAGTTTTCTAATCTCTGTTAAATCCATATCCATATACCTTACACCTTCAGGGGTGGATCCAGAAGTGTTAGTTTGGGGATGAAATACAATTTTTTGGTTTTTTTGGGGGGTGGGGGGGAGGTTTGGGGTCAAGGTCCTTGCCTGCTCCCCTCCCTTTGCCACTGCTTACGTTAATATCTATACTAATTATAGAGTCAAAATCTGAGTTTGTCTCACGAGTTGACTCGGAGACAAACTCAATTTTTTAAAAATTCAAAATAAAATAAAAACTACCATCTTAATTATAAAACTACCCATTAGAGGATAAATATAATATTTAAATTTTATTTATATCATTTAAAAAACTACACATTTAAAAAAAAACTACCACAAACTATCTTATCATTATTTTTTTATTTTCATATGTATCCACTCACGTAATGAGTGTCCTGTATCTTGTAATAGCAATGTAAATGACCCAAACTTAGATAAGTGGTTGCGTGATGATTGACACGTGGCCATCGCTTTTGGTATAATTGGTTGCAAACTTAACGTTTCTATATATTTTATGCGGTTAAGTCTTTAAAACAATATATTTGGTATGTGTTTGATGGAAATTTTGTTTCTAAGGTTCTCACCTTGTTTCTTAATTGTAAGGATGGAGAAACGTAATGCCAATGTAAGATCAAATCAAAATAAAAGCACCTAAATTGATTAAAACAAGTAATATATTACATATGAGTAAAATCGAATTACAATTGAGAAACTAGTTTGGAAACAAGTTGCAAAGTGAAAAGAAAAAAAAAGAAAAAAAAAAGGAAGGAAATCTAGTAATCTACCCTCAAAGCACTAAATCTAACTAATCAATTAAGATAGACAACCTTCGGTCTAATGGTTTGCTAACCCTTTTTCATCTTCTTCATTCAATTTATACTTGTATGAATTGCTCAAGCTAACTTCAAATTTCCCTCCTAATCTTTCGGATATGAGCTTTGTTTACTCATTTCTAAACTTCCTTTAGATCATGGTAAATCGTTTTAAGCAACAACTAACTATAACATGTTCCTATAGCATGTTCCTCAATTTTTTTTTTTTGAGGGAAAACATGGTCCTCATTTGATTTAGCAAGTACTCCATTCGTCTCATATTATCTGTCCCTTTTGAGTCAAATCAATCATACATTTAATCTTTAATTACAAAAAATATATATAATCAAATTTTCAAAAAATATGTTTTGAAAAGTTTAATACTTAACTTAATCAAAACGTAATTTTTTAAAATTTATTTTTATATAATTTTTTTATAATTAAAGGTCAAAGTTAGGAAACTTTGACCCAAAATGAACATATAATATGAGACTGAGGAAGTAACTTGCATTGACCAATCTTTTCCCGCATGTGTTCATCTTCTAATGTTAGGTGTTGTTGTTGTTGTTCATCTTCTAATGTTAGACTAATCTAACGTATGAGTGCAACATTGCATTACAAATGACACTAAAATCCCATTAAAATTGTCAGTGAAAGGGGTAAGCCTAATTTTAGTATTTTAGTCACTACAAGACATACATCCATGATCTAATGAATACAATGCTGCAACAGGTTGTACATTTTGACAAAGAGAACGTAGAAGGGTAATGATATCTTAAAAGTACAAGTGGCTAGTAAGACCATAAAGAATACTCCTCTCCTAAATTATCTGACTTTTTGGATCAAAATAATCCTAACTTTGACCCTTAATAATAAAAAAATTATATAGAATTAAATTTTAAAAAATTATGTTTTGATTAAGTTAAGACTTAAACTTTTCAAAACATATTTTTTGAAAATTTGATTGTATATGTATTTTTTGTAATTAAAGGTCAAAGGTGGAATTAATTTGACCCAAAATAGTCAGATAATTTGAGACAGAGGAATTTGAGACAGAGCAAGTAGTAAAAAGAGGGAGTAGTAAAAAGAAGAGACCGCATAAGATCATTTGAGCTGTTAAAGGATTATATTGGCAATTAGTTACGCAATCGGCTCCAAACTGCCGTTGGGATCAGGAGGCCTGTCTCCGTCTCCAAACCACCCCTAAGCCAAATCCCCACATACTTTGAAACGTTTTAAATTCATTCTTTTAAACACAACTTGTATTTACTAATAAATTTTTAAAAAAAGGAAAAAAAAAATCCCCTTAAGAAAACTAAAATAACCCAAGAAATTTCGAAGACTTCGTGAAAACAATCGAACGAAGAACAAGGAGGATAAGAAGAAGAAGAAGAAGTTGATTTTTTTGAGTGATAGATCTGCGATTATCGATGGATGTGCCTAGTTCTTGGGATGCTTTACGCAAACAGGTTTGCTGATTTTCTGTTTCCTTTTTCTTTTTCAAATTCTAATTCTGTTTGGTTACGAGAAAAACTGATAGGATTTTTGGGAAATAAACCCTAGGGTTGTTTCATCCTATCTGATTTGATTGAACCCGTTAGAATTGTTGAGGAAAGTTTTGATTATGTTTTCGGTTTGTTAGAAAAGTATAAGAAATGAAACAATATATGCTGTTTTGTTTTGCCCTGTGATTGATCTAAGCGTTTGATTTTAGTTTTCTTTGTGAAATCTGTTGAATTGCAATGGATATCTGTATTGTCTAGCTACTGGGGCTGGTTATTTCCATTTTGATATTTTTTGGTTAATCATATAGAAAAATTAACTAACATTATGAATTTATAGTGAAAAAATGGAAATTTTTGGTTGGATCAACCGGATCTGCTTAATCACAGTTTTAATTAGATCCTTAACAAAGAAATACAATCTTAATTAGCCTTGTTGTTGTTTAGGTTTATTTGTTTATGTTTTGGGATGTTGAGCTTGGGGTTGTTTTGTTGTTTGTTTTCCTAAGTGCATAGTCCAGTCTGCAGTGCATTTCTCTTTTCTCACTTACATGGAGACAATAGTCCTTTTTGGAATTTATATTTTCTGCCTAAATGGGTTAAAGGAATATAAGTTGCTGTATTTCTCCATGAAACTTCTGAGTTCTGACTGAGGATTTAGAATGAACCTGCTTGTATGGTCGTTTCACCTACAGTGTGCTCATTTTCCTGTCTGGTAGAGGTATAAGGGCTTCCTGTGAATGGACTTCTTTTAATAATAACTTCAAAAAAAGGACAAAACAGACATTTAACATTTCACTCCTGCTTTAACTAATTTCATGGAGTATCTTGTCATTTATAAGTTTTGGTTGTCATGTCTAGCATGAATATGCCATTATACCACTTAAAAGATTAGATAACTAGTTTAACTTGACACTAATATGGGTTTAGCATTACACTAAGGTTAGATAACAATGTGATCTTCCCTTATACCTGGGCCATTAAATTTGGAATAAAAACGTTCTTTAAGAATAAGGTCAGAAGTTTTTTTTTAGAGTGTCTAGGTTGACCTTTTCAAACTTTTGCTTGTTAACTCCCATAACTCATTTCAATTTTCAAAGTCTAGTTGAAAATAATTTGACATATGAAAAATGTAAGACACAGTATTATGCCATTGAGACCCTACATTTTCCAGTAAGAACCTTTTTCTCCACCCAAAGATTTGTCCTGCAATGGTTGAAAGTTGATTCTATCAATTGTTCTGGCTACAATATCTATTATTCTAATGAATAACTTTGTTTCACTATTATTGCAGGCAAGGAAACTTGAAGCTCAGTTGGATGAGCAGATGAATTCATATCGCAAGTTGGTCTCAACTAAGGGTTCTACAAAAGTTGACTCAGAAGAGAATGATCTTGAATCTGGTATAGACCGACTATTAAAACAGCTCCAACAAGTAAATCTGCAAATGCAAGACTGGGTATCTTCTGGTGGATCTGAAATGGTTTCTCATACCTTGACCCGGCATCAAGAAATTCTCCAAGATCTCACTCAGGTACTGTGGTCTTGAAATTATTATGTGTTTTTCTCTAAGATAAGGAGCATGCAGCTTTATGGCACCCATTTTCTTTGGAAATTAACAATAAAGCAACAAAAGATAGGAGCCTTTATATTTGATATCAAATGACATATGTCTTGTCATCCTGGGGATATCAAAGTAAACAGATTTTGCTTTACCTTTTTCTTATCCAGCATATCAGTTTGAGTATTGTCGAAATCTTTATAATTCTGTAGTCAGTTGCAGGCTTGCAGCTTTCCATAAAGACCTTTTGGCCCATTCACTGAATATACTTCTGTTGCTATAAAACCTTTAACATGATTTAATGGTATCAGAAAGAATCTAAGTTGATCTTAATCCTGATTGAAGTGCAGGAGTTCTATCGTCTCCGGTCTAGCCTTAGAGCTAAGCAAGAACATGCTTCACTCCTTGATGATTTTAGGGAGTTCGATCGGACTAGATTAGACTTGGAAGAAGGTGTTGGTTCCACAGAACAGGCTCTACTTAAGGAGCATGCAGCCATTAGCCGGAGTACAGGACAGGTATGTGATAATAATGGTTGAGAGTGCATATTTGTGTAAGTATGATAGTTTTACTCTATTCCTTCTATTGTAATGCTTTAATTTCAATTGAACTCCCATCATTGTGGGTATGTTCCCTTCATTTCCTCATTTGTTATTACCATTCATTCCCTCTACTACGTTTAGTTGTTATTAGTTAAAGTCCAAAAGGAACAGTTCAGAGCTGGTTTCAGGCCTGAAAATGTGTTGGAAACTTAGAATAAGAAATATCTTCCTATATTGCCTTAAATATCATGTTAAGGTTGATTACAGACACTCAAGACAAAGAATTGCTGTCTCTCTCTTCTTCTTATTTGAGAATTGTTTATGTTCTAGTATTTATAGTTTCCTATTTTGGATGTGTAATCACATTTAGTTCGTTAGTGGATTTCAACACTAGGAATCTCAAATAAAAGCTCAATGACATTTTTATCACTTTATTTACAGTTTTTTTCTTTTTCTTTTGAAAATTAATAAAAGCAAGTGCTGGAATAAATTTGTTATCTTCCTAGCATAATGAAAAATCAAAACTTATTATTTATAAAGACAAATATGCTTTAAGTTATAACTCAGTCCTTATTTTGATGTGTCTTACTAATGCTTGGTTTTAAGAAGCAAGGCACATACATAATCAAGTGGCCTTTGCTTGGTTGAAGGGCCAACCGTTTCTACTTTCTGTGTTTCAAAATTTTTATTTCTAGGCTGATACATATTTGAATCAAAGTCTTTAAACCATCCTGGTTGAGTTGCAACATTGACGTATAACTTAGAAGTGATGTGCTTGACTCATTGTAAAGAAGATACGAGGATGGTGGCAGTCTTGAAACGTGTTTTTACCATTACAAGAAAGAACAGCCAATCATAATTAATGCATTACAAAGTCATCTGCAGAGTATTATGTGCTAGAAAACACTTTCTGTTAACTGATTGTCACTTGTTTAAAATGTGTTCTTAAGTTGCCTTTTCTGGGTTAGTTCCTCTGTATGAGTAGATTTTGGATTTCACATAAAATTTGGAGAAAGAAAAATACAGATCATGTATGTTCTCGTTATTGCCCCTAGTTCTTATGAGTTTGCTCTGTCTTCTGGTTTTGCAGATGGATAGTGTGATTTCACAAGCTCAAGCAACTCTTGGTGCACTAGTCCTTCAGCGTTCAACTTTTGGGGGGATTAATTCCAAGCTTGGGAATATTAGCAGCCGCCTTCCAACAGTATGACTCCTTGTTAACGTTGTTGGTTATGTTATTACTTTTAGACATTTATTGGGTACTCAAGTTAGCATTTTATACTCTAGTTGTCCCACATACTAGTTCTCTATGAACTATGATCGAGCATGTGAACTTGAAGAGGAGTGGACATGCTTGAGAAAATAGACCAATTTATGGAAGAATGAACTTCTGCAAGTTATTGTCATTAATAATGATTGCGTAAAGTACTAGTTTATTATTATTATCATTATCTTTTTCTTAGTGTAAAGACTGATCATATTGTGCGCAAGATATATCATTTGGGACAACAAGAAATTGAATGGACAATTTTTCATCAAATGAGAAATTTATCTTTCAGCTTCCGAAAACTTCCTTCTATTGGTTTTCAACTTGTCCTCATATTTTGACCCATATGCTATCATTCTGTATATGCAGGTAAATCATATTCTATCAGCAATAAAGAGGAAAAAGTCTATGGATACCATCATTCTTTCCCTCGTTGCATCTGTATGCACGTTTCTTATCTTCATCTACTGGTTGAGTAAGTGAGGATTTATTTCGTATTGCTGGCCGTGATTATGGTGAAACAGGTCATCCTAATGTTGATGCTCTGTATGGGGCTAAGAAGGGTTGTTATCTTATGTTGTAAGTTGATGGTGACATTTCTAGTGGGTAGTCACATTATGATTACCTTCATTTGTGTAGCACTATAGGCTTCCCAGTAAAGGTAAAATTCAACATTCTCGTATACATAAATTTTTTGTTTTGCCTTTTTTGTATCATCAATATTAAATGAGTAAGCTGCAAATAAAAGATTGTTTCATTGCTTTTGTACTTAGCAATATCTCAGCTTGAGTGCTCTAATTAAAAAGGCCACTAAAATGCAATTTCTTTTCAACATACTCAGCAGTTTCATATTGCATAGTAGGTTGCTTATTGCAATCTTATCATGTTCACTTCTGAATCAGTATCCTTCCTACCAATGGTTTCAAAATGACTCCATGATTAATTGCATGAATCCCTAGCTCAAGGTGTCAGGTTGGAAATCTTCTTCTGAAAATTGTATTGCTGAAGAAGAGCTGAGCAAGCAACTCGTCAGCAAAGCGTTTGTAAACTTGGGACTCGGGACCTTAATTTCTACAAAATGAAATTGCAGGTGATATGCTTTCCTTACTTTTGGTTAGACATGATCATACACCCGGTATAGCTTTGGAAATAAGTTCATTTGAGATGATGTTTAGAAGAAAAAAAAATTATCATTTGAAAGAGAAAGCATAACAGATTTTGGAAGCTTGCTTTCCAGGTATAATCCAGTTCTACAGTTCAAGAGAATAATGTTGACCCTTTTTCCATTTTGGATGAATGGAGTACTACTTATATGGGACATGTCTAAATTGACCTTATTTCATTCAATTTCAATACAAATTCTCTTACTAACTTTTCTTTTATTTCATCTTAAATACTATCAATAATGAAACTTAGAAAAATGAGTTTGGATATGGCCAAAATGGATTTAATTATATCTGCAAGAAAGCAAAGTCATGCCCAAAATGATGTACAAATTCCATCCACTACTATTGACTTTTGGAAATGAATGGTATCTTTTGCAAAGACTCCGAATGTTAATGAGGAAAGCTTAAAAGCCAATGTTTTTGACATAAAACCCATTGTTACAGTTGAAAAAACTTTTCTTCATTTAATATTATGGATAAATTTGCATCACCATCTCCCACTAACGTTAAAAAAAAAAAAGAAGCTATATCTACGTGCCCACTACATGATTTTTTGGATTTGTTTTCCTTGTAGTTTTCGTAGGTCAAAGTTTCAACTTTTATGTAATCCATTGATTTAGAAATTTATGTATAGAAAAGTGCTCTGTTTATGGCAAATCCAGAGTTGGATTGAACAGATTTTGGGTTATATGCAGAGAATTAGTCTCAAGTCTCAACATGAATTTATGATAGTATATATAATATAGGGGGGATTTTCCTTTTTGTTCCACTTTTATCTGCTCATGAAACATGCTATGGCTTGCTAAAAGGTGATGGATATAATAATTTTATTGACAATAGTTTAAAAAACTTACAATAGTTCCTTTTTTTTTGGCAAAAAAAAAGTTCAAAAAGTTGTTTCTACTACTACTATTAAGAACGTGAAGGAAGGAAGAAAAAACAAAAGAAAGTTGATAAAAACACATACATGGAAGAAGATAATCTCAAAAGTGTTACTTTAGGCAGACCAAGAATTTAAGAAGACTAGTGCCAAAAATTATATCAAGGATAAGGGAGAAATATTAAAATCTGCACGTATGATTCAAGTATAAAAAAGACAAGAAATCAACACCTCAGTCCTCATAGTGTCGTTTCCTTTCGATATGACTCAAAGGTGTTACTAGGAAATCAAATGTCTTGATTTTGTTTTGGAAGTTATAATATCAATTATTAGATTCTTTATATTATATATATACTATTATATTATATATCATACATATATATATATATATATATGTCATATAATTTTGTAAAATGGTAATGAATTTTTAATATAATTAGAAAAATGTCTCTATGTATAAATGAACGAGGCCTTCAAAGGGCGAGTGATGGAATTTGGTTAAAATGATTCGGTTAAATATTTAGTTTCGATGATGATATAATCGATTTTACAGTGTACTTGATTCGATTTGTTTTAATGGAAGTTGGTATTTGAACATGTTTACGCCATTAATTTTTACAAAACTCAAGTTCTTTAAAGATATGATAATTAGTCGCGATGGAGCTGCCAAGTCAGTTTGGTAATCAAGTGATAATACGATAAAATTAGACAAACTCCGATTATGTCTTCAAACATTAAGATTTAATTTAGCCAATGTGTGACTATATGTGTTCTTTTACATTTATGTATACTAGTTATTACTTTCACCGTGCCTTGCCTTGCACGTGGCACGTGACCTAATATATTTGAATTAAATTAAAATTAAAATCTTAAGTATACTACTAATTTATCCTAAAGAAGTCTATTAGTTGGCAAAATTTCACTAGAGTACGGATATCCGACTCGATCGCCTGAAGCCAAACCTTATCCAACCCGATTCGACCAAAAAATCCGCTCAATCCGAAAATGATATGACTCGGCCTCAAATCCTTAATGACCCAAACCTAAATCATTCCGAATCAGATCAATCCGAGAGATTAATCCGAAATTACCCAAATCGGAATTAATTATATTTAAATAACTCGAATTCGAAAATAATTGAACCTGAAAATCGGAAGCTCAAACCTGAAATTATCTGAACCATATGACCTGAAACTGAAAAAGATCCGAACCAAAATTGATCCAAACACAAATGACCCGACATTTGAGCGATCCGAATCCAACCCAACCTAAAACCAAAAATTAACCGAACTCTTATAACCCAAAATTTCCTTAACCCAAAACTAACCTAACTTAGATAACCGAACCCAAATCCAAACCGACCAGCTCATTTGTATCTACACAAAGAAATTATTAACAAAATAAAATAGCAAATTTAAACCCACATTAACGGTTACATTTGTCTAGCAAAAAATTAATCATAAATCAAATAAAATAATTGCGCATTAGGGAAATAATATATTTTAATCATAAAACATTAAATTATCAAATAGGACATGTCAATCACAATAACCTTTTAAATTAAAATGGTAAAAATAAAATAATTATAAAATATTAAATTTAATTAAATGAAAATAGAGTTTTTGGTAGAATAAAACTGTATATTAAAAATTTTAATATATCCAATTTTTATTGAAAAATAGTAAAATGGTAAAAATAAAGAAACTATAACGAAATTAGATTTAATAATTGAATAAAAATAGAGTTTTTAGTAGAATAAAACTACAACCGTTTAAGCAAAGACATTTAAGAGATATATTCAAAAAAATAAGGATATAATGGTCAATTCAAAAGTTTCTCAAAACTCGTACTTTTATATATACTAGTTTTAGCTTTCACGTGCGTTGCACGTGGCGCAATGTGTTTAAATAAAATAATCATATGAAATTATGATAACCTCACTATTAAATTATGATAATTACACTATTTTTTATGATCCTATTATGAAATTTTGATAACCTTCCTATGAAATTTTAATAACGATATTATAGAATTTCAAGAACCTTTTTCTAAATTTTTTTTAACCTTCTTATGAAATTTTGTTAACCGCCCTAAGGAATTTTGAAGACCTCAATTTGTCCCAATGAAATTTTAATAACCAACACTATGAGATGTTGATAACCTCCATATGATATATTGATAACCACGTTATGAAAATTTAAAAACCTCCATATGAATTGTGTTAGTAATCACACACTCTGAAATTTTGATTATCACACTATGAAATTTTGATAAATCTTCCTATAAAATTTTGATAACTTTCTTATGAAATCTTGATAACTACAAATTTTGATAACCTCCCTATGATTTTTGATAACCTCATTATGAAATTTTGTTAATCTCCCTATGAAATTTTGATCTACATACTATGAAATTTTTGATAACCCTCTTATGACATTTTGAAAACTAAACTATGAAATTTTGATAACCTTCATATGAAATTTTGATATCATCCCTGAATTTTGATATCCTCCTTGAAATTTTGATTACTCCATAATAAAAGTTTAATAACCTTCCTAATTTGGTAACCATACTATGAAATTTTGATAACCTCCCCAGAAATACCACTATGAAATTTTTGTAATCACATTTTGAAAATTTGATAACCTCTTTATGAAATTTTGATAACCTTTTTATAAAATTTTGTTGACCCCTCTATGAATTTCTGATAATCACATTATGTAATTTTGATAACCTCGTTTTGAAATTTTGATAACAACACTATGAAATTTTGATAATCTTTCTATAAATTTTGATAATCCGATCTCTATGAAATTTCGATAATCACTCTATGAGATTTGATAACCTTCTATCAAATTTTGGTACTCCTTATGAAAATGAGACTTTTATAACCTTCATATGAAATTTTGATAATCACATTATAAAATTTTGATAACCTCCCCATGAAATATTTGTAACCTCCTGATGAAATTTTGCTAACCATACTATGAAATTTTTAGTACCTCGCTATGACATTTTGATAACCTTTCTATAAAATTGTGATAATTAACCACCCTATGAAATTTCAATAACCAACCTAAGAAATTTTAATAAGCTGATCCTAAGAAATTTTGGTAACCACAGTATGAAATTTTGATAACTTCCATATGAGAATTTGGTAACCACACTATTGAATTTTGATAACCTCCTCATGAAATCATAATAACCATCTTATGAAATTTTGATAACCACAGAGATAAAAAATCAAAATCATAATATCACCCACTCTTCTAACACAACAATTTCCAATTGAACAAAATGAATGCGGGAAAACATTATATAATGAAGAGATGGAGCTTCACTAACAATAGTATTGTACGTGTTAGTGTTAGTGCTAGTTTAATCTTTTTACTGACATTTGAAAATTGAAATTAAAAGTAAAATATTAAATTCAAAAAATAATAGTAAAGGAAATTTACATGTTCATCAACTAAAATCAATTTGACAAACTTATAATTCGGTCTAAATTGAAATTTTAATTAATTTTTAAATAATTAATAATGGATGCATTTATAATTAAAAAAACTAATGAAATAATTAAAATATTATTTAGTAATGGCAATTTAGAAATATATATTTAAAAAAGGTATAATCAGAAATATATTTTAAAAAAAGGGGTACAATAAGAAAACATAAAGTTTCCTCTTATTCGTACTTTTATCTTTCACGTGCTTTTCACATGACCTGATATCTTTAAATTAAATTAAAATTAAAATCTTAAGTATATTTATTACTAATTTTATCCTGAAGAAACCTATAATTATATCTTGCAAAATTTGACTCGAGTATGGGTATCCGACTCGATCACCTGAAACCAAACCTTATCCAACCCGATTCGACCAAAAAATCCGCTCAATCCGAAACCGAAATGACCTGACCTCAAATCCTTAATGACCTAAACCTGAATCGACCTGAATCAGATCAATCCAAGAGATTAATCCGGAATTACTCGAATCAGGATTAATTATATTTAAATAACCCGAATTCGAAAATAATTGAACTTGAAGGTTCAAACCCGAAATTATCGGAACCATATGACCCGAAACTGAAAAAGACCCAAACCAAAATGACCCGACATTTGAGCGATTCGAATCCAACCCAACCTAAAACCGAAAATTAACCGAAACCTTATAACCCAAAATTTCCTTAAACCGAAAATAACCTAACCCAGATAACTGAACCCAAATCCAACCCGACCAGCCCATTTTTATATATATTGGGTTTTACTATCAAAGTAACAAAAGAAATCATCCCACACGAAGAAAATTATTAACAAAGTAAAATAGCAAATTTAAACTCGGTTACATTTATCTAGCAGAAAATAATTATAAATCAAATAAAATAATTTCACTCTAGGGAAATAATAAATTTTAATCATAATACATTAAACTATCGAATATAACATGTCAATCATAATAATCTTTTAAATTAAAATGGTAAAAATAAATAATTATAAAATATTGAATTTAATTAAATGAAAATAGAATTTTTATTAGAATAAAACTGTATATTAAAAATTTTAATATATCCAATTTTTATTTAAAAATAGTATCATGGTAAAAATAAAGAAATTATAAAGATATTAGATTTAATAATTGAATAAAAATAGAGTTTTTAATAGAATAAAACTACAATAGTTTTAAAAAAAACTATAATAGTTTAAGTAAGGGCATTTAAGAGATATATTCAAAAAAAATGAGGGTATAATGGTCGATTGAAAAGTTTCTCAAAACTCGTACTTTTATATATAGTATTGATATAGATATAGATATAGATTATATTGAGTGGAGAGGAGGTTTTAATAGTATTTGAGTTGTCCTTGTATGATATAATATTTTCCCTGCGGAACACACACACACACACACATATATATATATATATATAGTACTAGTAAGAAGTTTTTGAGGCATGCACGGGAATTGATTTCAGTCCATAAGCCTTCAATTTTTGCAATAGTTGAGCCTAGAATTTCAGGTTCAAGAGCGAAGTGTGTTCTTCGTAAATTAAAGTTTCCAAAATGGCATGTGGCGGATCCGGTTGGGTTTGCAGGTGGTATTTGGTTGAATTGGGATGATGCTGCAGTCCAGTTAACGATAATTATTTCTTCTCCTCAGCTTGTACATGCCCTTGTTAAGCCTAAGGATCAGGAGGAGTTCATGCTGACGGTTGTATATGCTAGTCCAAAGTTGGAAGTTCGAAGGATTTTGTGGACTCATATGGAAGATCTTGCCCGAACTATCACTTTGCCTTGGGTGGTTTTAGGAGATTTTAATGATGTTTTGAATGGAGGGGAGAAGATGGGTGGTGTTTCTCCTTCTTTTACTAGATGCAATCTTTTTAATGAGATGATAACAAACTGTGGTTTATTGGATTTAGGGTTTTATGGTCCTGCTTTTACTTGGTGTAACAGGAGGAAATGTTTAAGGAAAATTCAAGAACGACTTGATCGTGTTCTTGCTAGCCCAAATTGGCGTGTTATGTTTCCCGAGGCTGCAGTTATACATCTTCCTCAAGTTCATTCGGATCATAACCCAGTGCTGTTGGGATTGGAACCTCATGTACCGGGGGATAAAAGCCAGCGCCCCTTTCGGTTTCAAGCTATGTGGCGTGCTGAATGTGGTTTTGATGAGATGATGAGCAAGTTGTGGAGGGAACTTGATGGTTCATTTGTAGAAAGAACGGAGAAGCTTGCCTCGGCTCTTTTGGAATGGAATAAAACGGATTTTGGTAATATTTTTGCAAAAAAGAAGGAGTTGCGAGCTAGAATTAATGGTGTTCAGAGAGCATTGGCGGTACATAGATCCCATCAGCTTGAGTTGTTAGAGGAGGATTTGGTCTCACAGTATGATAGGATTTTGGAAAAAGAAGAATTGTTTTGGGCCCAAAAGTCTCGGGTTCAGTGGATACTGCATGGTGATCGTAATACTAAAATTTTTTCCACTTGTCTACTGTTATTCGTAGGAGGCGGAATAAGATTTTATTGTTGAGGGATGCTACCTCGGGTGAATGGGTGTCGGATCAAGGGGAGTTGATGCGAATGGTTGTGGCTTTCTTTCGAAACTTGTTCTCCATTGAGGATGGTGATTTTCGGCCTTTGGGGATTGTTCCTCATCCTGTCTTATCTCCTGTTGACGTCCTTAATATGGATAAGAGAATCTCCCTTGCTGAAGTTCGAAGTGCGCTTTTTCAAATGAAACCATGGAAAGCTCCGGGGGTTGATGGGTTCCAAGCAGGTGTTTACCAGGCCTATTGGGATGATTTTGGTACTTATTTGTATCAATTGGTGTTGGAGGCTTTTGATTCAGGTTCTTTCTCACCCGAACTTAACCGCACGTTACTTGTTCTTATTCCTAAAGTGCAGCAGCCGGAGTATGTGAAACAGTTTCGGCCTATTAGCTTATGTACTGTGGCTTATAAGTTGATTACGAAGGTGCTTGTTAATAGGTTAAGACCTCTGCTTGATAATCTTGTGGGTCCTTTGCAATCGAGTTTTATTCCAGGTCGCCAAGCAGCAGATAACGTGTTTATTGCCCAGGAGATGATTCATACTATCCGCCGTTCAAGGAGTAAACTGGGTTTGATGGCGATTACAATTGATTTAGAGAAAGCTTATGATCGTGTCCGATGGGATTTTTTGCGAGATACTCTTATTGTGTTTGGGTTTCCTGATAGTTGGGTTCAGCTTATTATGTTTTGTGTTGAGAGCTCTTCTATGTCAGTTATGTGGAATGGTGAGAAAACTGACTCTTTTCTCCTGGTAGGGGTCTTCAGCAGGGTGATCCGATCTCTCCTTATCTCTTTGTTTTGTACATGGAACGGCTTGGGCATTTGATTAATGAGTCTGTGTCTCGGAAGGTTTGGAAACCTATTACTTTGGGTAGGGGTGGTCCCTCTATTTCCCATTTATTCTTTGCAGATGACCTATTTCTTTTTGGTCGTGCCTCGGAGAAGCAAGCGGAAACGGTTCGAGAAGTTTTGGACAGGTTTTGTTTGGCGTCGGGGGCAAAAGTAAGTTTGGAGAAGTCGAGAGTATTTATTTCTCCGAAAGCTTCTGGTAGTAATGTGAGGCTTGTTAGCAATCTTTTGGGCATTGGTCTTACTAATGATCTTGGTAAATACCTTGGTATTCCTTTGGTACATAAGAAAGTTGGGGTCTCTTTGTATCGTGAATTGATTGATAAAGTTGCTACTTGCCTTAGTGGGTGGAAGGCAAAACTGTTGAATATGGCTGGTCGTGCAACTTTGGTGAGTTCGGTTATGTCCTCTATTCCAACGTATACTATGTTGACTACCAAGTTACCAGCTAGTTGCCGTAATAAGTTGGATATGCTCAATAGGCGGTTCTTATGGGGTGGTACTGAGAACAAGAAGGCTCTTCATCTTGTTAGTTGGGATGAGGTTTGTAAACCTAAGAAATTTGGGGGGCTTGGTCTTCGACAGATGAAGTACCACAACCGAGTTCTTCTCCAAAAAACGGCTTGGAGGTTCTTACATCAACCTCATAGTCTCTGGGTACAGTGCTTGTGTGCCAAATATCGCATCCAGGGGGATGTTTTTGATTCTATCCGAGAGGCTGGCTCTAGGAAAGTTTCATGGTCATCTTCTTGGAAGGGTCTAGCAGGGGTTTTGGAGGGCCTCTTTTGTGGTTTGAAGAAGCGAGTTGGACGTGGTGATAAGGTTTGCTTCTGGTTAGATACTTGGCTTGAGGAACCTTTGATTAATTCGTTGGAGGCATTACCATCCTTTTTGGATACAACTATGATGGTAAGCGATTTTATTGTTGATGGTGGTAGCTGGAATGCGGATATGTTGTTTGCTCAATTACCTTACGAAATTGCTCTTCGTATTTTGGGTTATCCTTTGCCTAAAGTTGTTAGTATGAGTGATTCGTATTATTGGGGTTCTACTTCGAATGGTATTTTTTCTACACGCTCCGCCTATTTAGCTATATTACAGGAGAATTTCGGTTTAGAGGACTGTTCTTATGCGAATATATGGAGTTTGCGAGTTCCTCTGAGATGGATTTTCTTTTATGGCTGGTGTGGCGTGGTCGTATAGTTACTAATGCTTTACGTTACTCCTGGGGTATCTCTTCTTCTGCTATTTGTTCGAGTTGTAATGGTGGTGTGGAGGATATCATTCATGTTTTGCGTGATTGTGTGTGGGCTAAGCAGGTTTGGATGCGTATTCTCCCCTCTTCCAGGACCTCGGGTTTTTTTGAGCTTTCTCTGTCTCATTGGTTATCACAGGGTTTGAATTTGAAGAATAGGTCTGTTTCACAAGTAACCTTGTTTGTTACTACTATTTGGCGCATTTGGACCTCTAGGTGCAGGAGGGTTTTTGACCCAAATGAGGTGACTTCCTTGGATGCTATTGTTTACAATATTGCCGGTACTACTAGGAGTGTCGTTGCAGCTATGTCGATGCCATCTCCTCCCACAGGACCGACGGCTTCTATCTCATGGACCCCTCCAGGTGAACATTTTGTCAAGCTGAACACTGATGGAGCTGCGAAAGGTAATCCGGGTGCCGCTGGGGCTGGTGGTGTGATTCGCAACACGGAAGGTGGATGGGTTGTTGGCTTTGCTGCTCATCTTGGTACCTGTTCGAATGTTGCTGCTGAATTGCATGTTTTGCGTTTGGGGTTGACGCTTGCATGGAGAGAAGGGTTTCGTGCTGTCATTTGTGAGGTTGACGCCAAAGTGATTCTTGATCTACTTAACTCGGATAACTTGGAGGTTCATCCTTTGGGTGCCTTGCTTCTGGATGTTAAGGAAATGTTGAGTTGGAGTTGGCAGTGCTTTTGTCAACATACGCTTCGTGAAGGGAATTTCTGTGCGGATATGCTCTCCAAGATGGGTTGTGACTTGGCTACGGATATGGAGTTTTTCTGTAGCCCTCCTCCAGGAATTGTGGACATTTTTGAGGCTGATCGGTGGGGTGTGGCTTTTCCCCGAGGATTTAAATTAAGCTAGTCTTTATCTTTCATGTTTTCACCAAAAAAAAAACTAAATACACGGTATAATGATGAAAAATTCGGTTTAAGATAACCTTTTCAAAGAGTATGATCATTAAAATTTAAAGGAGATGGGACCAATTTAAATACATTAAAAACATTTGAGAATTAACTCATATCTCTCTACCAAATCTAAGAATATGTACTTTAACTTTGGCTCCTGAACTTACACCGAATCGTCAAATAAGCCCTTGAATTTTTATTTCGGCCAAATAAACCCCTGCACTCTAAAAAAATGCAAAATAAGCCCTTTAGCCAAGGCTAAATGCTCAAACAATGACTAAAAATTTCAAGATTTTCTCAAATAAGGATCAAAATACACAATTTCAACAAATTAGAAAACATACTTAATATTTTTTTACAAATTGGATACAATAACAGTTAATACTAGTGTGTGAGATATATATAAATTGAAAAGCACACGATAATTTTATATCATATTACGTTTAATGAATTTATTTTGATTAATAGGGTTTGATTTTTAATTAACATGTATCATTTTTTTTTATCAAATTTAATGTGTATGCATGGGAAGCATTGGTTTTCATTTAAGGATTCCCTAATTTGTAAAAATTTGTCATGTATTCTAATTTGTTGGAATTGTGTATTTTGATCCTTGTTTGAGAAAATCTTAAAACGTTTAGTCCTTATTTGAGCATTTAGCCTTGGGAACAGGGCTTATTTGGCTTTTTTTAAGAGTTCAGGGGCTTATTTGGCCGAAATAAAAGTTCAGGGACTTATTTGACGGTTCGGTGTAAGTTCAGGGGTCTTTTTACTCATTAAGCCCTTTAACTTTACAAGAAAAAGTTTTTAGACCTTAACTAATCCGAAATCAAGTCGCGCTGGATCTTAAATGGGGAGAAACTCTTCTAACATCTTTTTTCTCCATTTACAAAACTTGAAATTTAGATCTTACTTGAGGGATATTGAGGTTCTTCTGCTCATCCCAATAGACTAACCTTTATTTATTTATTTATATCAATTTGGGGTTAAATTTTGGGTTGGAAAGTGATGGAAAACTGGAAGACTTTTCTCTTGCAACTACTTCAAAACACTGATATATGCAAAAATTCCGAGACAGAGAAATCTAACAAGAGATTTGGGGTCCAATTTGATTGGACAAAGCAAGCCAATCCCAAACAAAGGAATCATTTAATTTGTACTCATATATGTCTAATGTTTAGTGTGCACTCACAAGGTACAATGGAAATTTGAAATGGCAGTCTACAATTTGGTGAGTGAGACTTTACTTTCATCCTTGGTTTTATTTTCTGAGGAGTTTGTATCAAAATGTCTTGGTGGGCTCATAAATTAGAGAGTCTTTTACAGTTTACGGCAATCAGCTTTACACTTTGGTTTTGGATAATAATGTTAACTAGATCACATCTTATGAATTTATTTTAATTTTAATTTCAATTTTTTGGTGTAACGTACGTCTACAGGTTTACTTTATTTTTCAAACTAATTGAGACTACCACTAGGAATCGAATACTAATAATAAAAAAATGGAATTAAGAATTTAACACTTTATTATCATCAAATCACATGACTGATGGCTAACGTTATAAAGATACTTATATAATCTAGAGACACATATCTTGGCCTATTAGGTTTCCTTCAAAGGCAGGGCACTGGGCAGCAGCAAGCAATATGGTGGATTTAGAGAATCATAACATTGACCATAACCATAACCAGGGATCGAACATCAGGGAGATTATGATGATTGCGATCGACGGCAGCCGGAACGTTTTGCTAGAAGAATTGGGTTCCTTAGCCTCTGAACCGATTTTAGGCTCCGCAATCGTGCGCGAGCTCAAACGTCTTTGCTATGTTGTCGGCTATTACCCAGTTTGCGATGCTGCTGATAGCAAAGAAGCCATTGTCATGAAGGTCCGAACTCGAAAACGAAAAATGGCCGTTTTTCAGGAAGAAATTTGTTGTTCCTGTAAGTATGTGGTGTCCTTCCACAATTGCACGGATATCAAAATCGTGAGAAAGTGGGAACCCAGTAAAAGAGATATTGAAGAATCTGAATCTGAATCTGATGATGGTATTAATTATTTTGGCGGATCAAGGTTGATGCAGCTACCTTTGGAGCTGCAATTCAACATCTTATACTTGCTACAGGGTATTGACCTTGCAAGGCTTGCCTGCGTTTGTTCTGAGCTCAAAAGCTTGTGTGATTCTGATGATTTGTGGTGGCAAAAGTTTAAGGAGCTGGCATCTTTTTGTCTCTATCCGTTTCCCGAACCCATGACGCTTTGGAAGCAGAGGTTCGCTGCTGTCTCAAAGTTTCATTTGAATCATGCTAAGGTGTGGAGTGGCTTGAGATGGGAATTACCGATAGGCGCCGATAGGATGACATTGCGTGATAGTATGGAATTTTTATTGGAGTCTTTATACGATTTTTAACTTAACCCTATGATGATTATTATATATATAGACTATTTTCTATAGGATATATATATATATACCTTTCTCGAATGTTAATTTTGACGAAAATTTTATTGTTTATGTGGTTAAGCTTTTTTGACATTTGGATTACATATGATGCACGTTGACGGATTTTATTGTTTATTTATTGTTCTTTTTTTGGCATAAAAAAAAAGGGTCTCTTGGTGGGCGTCATGACGCAGGGGACTTACATATATATGTCTGATGCACCTTGACAGATTTTATTGTTTATTATTGTTTATTTATTGTTTTTTTTTTTGCATTTAAGAAAAATGGTCTCTTGGTGGACGTCATCGACCTAGGGAACTTACATATGTCTGATGCACGTTAACATATTCCTCTTGGTGGGCGTCATCCAGGGGCGGAGCTAGCTTATGTTTAGTGGGTCAATTGACCCCACTGAACTTGTGAAAATTTATAGTATAGCCTTATAGTAGTTACAAATTCAGTGATATATTTGCACTTTTACCCCACTAAATTGTATGAAAAAATTCCATTTGACCCTTATTAATTTGTTTTTTCGGCAGAACACCTTTGAAATTTGCTTTTCATATTTTTATGATATGAATAATGCAATATATATAATTCAATAGTAGTAAACTATTTCTAGCTTTATAATTAATTTGATTTACAACATGTTACAAACAATAGCCGAAATAATTATATCTCAAGATTATTGTAATATCTACCTTAATTACCTCACAAGAATTTCTTTTTTAAAGATTTTGAATGTCAATAGAAAATCAAGTGACCATTCCTAATACTAATTAGATTTGATATTTTTGAAATTATAACAAGAGTAGTTTTATTGATTTATCCCACCTAACGTGACATAATTACGAACACTAACGTCTTACAAGTTACAACAATAATTATCTTAAATTTTCAAGACTTGCCCTATAAACTTTAAGAAATTAAATTTGTGACTAAATTTTGTATCACATTAATTAGGTAGGACAATTTAGATTAAAAAATAAAAATCATTTCCATTAAAAAAAAGGTTTAAAAGAAATTATTATAGAATGACATATTTTCTTGGGAGAATTCCCCTTAAGTGTATTGGAATTTAAAATAATCAATGAATGGTTCTATATTACAAAATAATCAACATCTGGTGTAATAGTTTTATTTATCAATTTTAAGTGTAATGGACATGTTTTATGTAAAGACAAAATTGTCCATATCACATCTCCTCCCTATCTTCGTTCTTGGTTCTCTGTTTTATCCCCTTACCGTCGGCAAACATCTCTTCACCGCCGGTGAGCTCCTCTCCTCTCATTTATTGCCGATTTCAAACTCATAAAAATTTATAAAAATCACAAAAAATATATCCTTTGATGCTCTTTCTATTTCCACAATTAGTTTTCTTCAAAACAATTATTTTCTCACTCCAAAATTTAAATACCCAGAAACCTTGTAAAATTTTGATCTCTTCCATCCACCATTTCATGGACTTGGTTTTGTATTATATAATTCTACACAGTCTAATCTCTCTTCTCACCGTTTCAATGAATTTTCACTTACACTCTAAAACCAACAAATCATCACCACCCTTGGAGGATTTTGGATAAATTCCCTATTCCCCTTTGTCTACTATTGATATAGTATTTCCCTCTTGCCCAGACTTTTCCTTCATATCGTCCATTTTTTTTTTAATTTTAACAATTAAATCTCCATAGGTCTTCGATTTTGAGTAGTTTTGCGTAGTTTTAGTTGACTTATGGGTTGCAATGGGTGATTACACAATATTAGAATGGGTAATGCAGGAAAATTAAGGAAATTTTCATTACACTTAAAAGTGATCTCATTACACTAAAAAGAATCATTACACCAAATGGTGATTGCTTTTCATCATGCAACCGTTCATTGATTATTTTGTATTCCAATACACTTAAGAGAAATTTTCCCTATTTTCTTTTATATATTTATTTTAAAATTCATATTAAGAAGAGAATTATTACTATAAATAATGAAATAACACAATTATATATTGACACCACTGACTCAAATTCCTGGCTCCGCCACTGGCGTCATCCACACCAGAGGCTCTAAGTCCCTGCTCCCTGTTAAACCCCGATGACTCCTGCAGGCAGTGGAGGGGCGTGCCAAGAGTTGTTGTTTATTTATCGTTTAGATTTACATTTATTTAGATTACATAGAAATTCTTCCATATTTTATTGTTTATTGTATAGATTACATAGATCATTTTATTACGTATATATTTTATTGTTTAGATTACATTTATTTAGATATTCCATAGAAATTCTTCTACATTATGGAGACAGATTTCGAAGCCTTTAGGGGTATTGATGCTTTCTCAATCCTCACTAAGGATGGAATGGTTGCTTCTATAGGGATGGCAAATGGATTTTTGGAGAGACAATTGGTTGAATGGTTTAGTTCTTAATTAGGATATTTGTTTGGCAAGTGTTGAAGAAGAGAATTGCTGTCAAAATGGAGCTTCATAAAAGAGGCTTGATTACTATTAAAACTGCTCTATTATGTGCTTTCGGCTCAAAGGAACCCGAAACTGTTGAGCATTTATTATTATTCAATATATTCACTTGCAGATGTTCATGATGGACTGTTTGGGCTGCTTGCTGCAACATGCGGGGTGTGTATTAGGTGGCGCCTAATCCCACACATTCTTTCATGTCTTGGCAGTGCAATTATTTGGTCCCTGTGGTTGATATAGAGCAGCTTATGGATCAAAAGCCAGAAATTGTTTTGGCCCTGTGCAAGCTGCGCAAGATCAAATGAGAGATGATGTTATTCTGTTTTGCCTTGTTAGCAATGAGATGAAAATAATGGCAAGCAATAGTACTCATACCTTCCTAAGACCAAGTTTCTCTGAAATTTTCTGGTTAAACTTCTCCCTACATGAACTCAAACTAGCATTGAAATTAATTTGTTTTTCTATAGTACCAGATTATATATGTTTGGTGACCCTTGTGAAGAATAAAAAGTTTATATAAAGGGAGAATAGCTGAAATAGAGAGAAGGGAGATCTTATCATACCAAGAGATGATCAGTTCTTATATCATCATAGTATTAATATTTTACCAATGTGCTGGCTATGTTCCTTATTAATTTCACAACAAACACCAACACCATAATATAAATAAATTGGTGGGAAAAAAAAGTAAAGAATCCAAACTCTTGTTTTAATGCAACTTACAGTTACTAAGGAAAATGCTGCAGGTACTTTTTAGTTCATTTTGTTAGGATGTTGACTAAATGTGAAGGAGCTGATCAATTTTCAAGTAGGCATTTGCTTATATCATCCTAGCAATGCTGAATTTAAAAATAAATTAGAGAGGAATTACTTTGTCAGGTATTTGTTAATCATATTTCCTTACAGTTAACAAAGAGGAAAAAGGGAGAAATATAGCTTTCTGATCTTTTATTCACACCAAAGCAACTGCTCTTTACTGTCATTTCGAGAACCCCTGGATAGATTGTGCCATTTTGGTGTCAGTACATGATCTCAAATTTTGATGAAACTTTCTTTTTCACCACCACCCTGATTCTAATTGAATTAGGAAATTCTTGTGTTCTCATAATTAATGCCCAAAAAAATATTAAATAAATAATATTTATTTATTTATTATTATTGAATAATTATTATTATTCCATGAGTGCCGCCCATGACAAAGGAAGTGGCAGAAAATTCATTAGAAGACTACTCCTTTTAATGAAGCTGTCAGCAGGTGCAGCAGAAATTAAAATAAGGAGTTGAATGACACGTCACCTCTTAATTAAGAAAGGAGATGTCTCATAAGCCTAAAATAACAAACACAAGCCGCACATCTCCTGTGTTCTAGGAGGGGTTGGCCCTGTATTTAGGAAGTTGTCTCCCCCTGCATTTGAGGAGTCAACGGGTCAATATTTGTTAGCAAGCAAATTATTTATCTATGTAAGAGAGACGTGAGGTTTCAAAGCTCACATCTCCTTAATATTTTCACCCTAACATAGTGGTGAGGTCGCCTAGCTAGTTGTGCTATCCCAGGAGGCAAAAACAATAACTTTTGCATTTTGTTCAATTAAGAACAAAATGTCGAAATTGGAGGAATTGACATAGCTAGAGATGTGTGATTTCAACATGAAGCATACCATCATGGTCCTGATTATTCCGATAAAATTTTATCTCATTCTAACACAGTCGAAAAACTTTGTCTCGGTTTTCAATTAAGGACAAATTGTCGGTTTAAGATGATCTGAGCATGGATTTCGAGCCAAACAAGTGGCGTCACCTTAGATACATGATATTATGACTACACGTCAAATTTGAGTCATTTCAGGTGTCAATGATAACTTTTACACTCTTTTCAATTAAGGACATATGGCTTTTCCACCTCGATTTTGGCCATTTTCTTAGTTAATGATATTTTTGGGATTTGATGTGCTTAATATGATTAAATATGGAGAATTTTGTGACTTAGATGTTTAAGGTTTAGATCTTAATGCTTTAGAGTCATCTCTTTGCTGAATTAGTTGTTTTCAAACTCAGAGGAGGCAGCAGGACATGCTGAGTCACACCAGGAAGGTAAAGATGTCGAGATCTACATATGGAAGAGGACTCAACGTGATTTCTACAAGATATGTGGCGTCTCAGGCCAATTCAGATGTCATCTCAGCAAAGTTCTATAAGTTTCCAGAAGATGAAGTCATCTCCTCACTTGAAGTTGCCGTCTCCTGAAGTGACCAGGCCCATCAAGTCAGAAAGTCCATGCCGTCCCCTATATAAAGGGATCAACCCCAATGCTTCAAAAAACGCTTCAACACGCTACAAACTTCCTCCAAGCAAAATTCAAAGCTCCGCGCTTTTCTCTCAATTTTCTCTGCAGAATTTATGCTGAAATCTCTGGACTTCTTTTTGTTCATCACGAGTTCTTACTCGTTCTTCAACTTTTCTCTTGTTCAATCCTGTCTCCGGACATACAAACACTGTACACGTG